AGTAAGTAGTAGTAGTGTGTGTGTGTGTGTGTGTGTGTGTGTGTGCGTGTGTGTGTGTGTGTGTGTGTGTACTGATCAGGCATCTGTCTGAGGTCTGTACCTCTACCTACTTTGGCTGTCACTCTGTGAGTTGCTCCTATATATGGAAAAGTGAAAGTGCCTGGTTAATCATGTGAGGAAACTGGGAGAGCCCATTTCCTGGGAGGGGAGCAAGTTAATATTGGGATATTTCACTTATTAACTCACTTTTCAGTAACTCAGTATTCAGCCTGTGCAAGATCGGTAACCATAAAGATTCAATTCAGCAGGAGTTAGTACAGGAGTTCTAGCTTCAGTTCAGTTCAGTGGTTCTTTTGGTTTAGCTCTCCCCTAGTTTGGGGCTGTTTGCTGTGAGTGTTCTCAAGCATGTGTTGTGATCACACAGAAATAGAAGAAAGTTGTGTAAGCTTGTCCCTTTCCTGTCAAAAGAGTGAGGGATATAAAGTTTGTTAAGCACAATATGACTTTGTTTCCTGGTTTTCATTTTCATCTCTAAGTGTGATTCTCCCCTGGAAGGTCTTGTACCTTTGCATTCTTTGTGTGCTGTTCTGAAAGGAAATACTGTACATGAACTAGTACCTGAGTAATATAGATTCTGCTGATATGATTTTGTAAACAATCTCTATTCAGCCTCCTCCTTCTTTTGCCTTCTCGTCTGCTAATTAGAGTCCATCTTAAAATTTCTGTAATTCCTACTAGTCCCTAGCAATTAGACATGCACTGACTGCCAGACCTTTCATTTAAGGGAGCTGGAAAACACCACCATTTTTCTAAAAAGGCTTTCCCAGTTAAGAAATCTTCATGGTTGTGCCTGAACTGCTTTGGAATGTACCCAACCTCAGCCTAAGCCTTGGGGAAGAAACAAAATATTTATATGTAGCTGAGATGCTGAGCTCTAGTTACAAATGGATCAAAGGAAGCTATTGCTCAGGCTGGCTACGGAAAGCTTTTTTTGACATGCAGTGTAGTTGTAGCCATGTTGATCCCAGGATATTAGAGAGGCCAGGTGGATAATATCTTGTATTGGACGAACTTCTGTCGGTCAGAGAGACAAGCTTTCTAGCCACACAGAGCTCTTCTTCAGGTCTGGGAAAGGTACTTCAAGCATCAGGTAGGGTAGTCAGTGTTTGGTGTAGGATGAAAGAGAGAGATTTTACCGTGTGTGTGCATGTGTGTGTGTGTGTGTGCGCGCGTGCACACGCATGTTCATAGAAAAAATGTTACCAAACACAACCTAACGATGACTATGTGCAGATACAGCGTCCCCAGCACCTACTGTACCACTGCAAAAAAGAATCATAAAGATTACCTCATTTTAAAAAAATCATTATGGGTTCAGTCCAGTGCCAACTGAAGTCAATGGGAAAGTTCCATTGACTTCAGAAAGCATCGGATTAAGCCCTATGATGTATTTTTCATCCAGTTGCAATGGTGATGTACCTGATTCATGGATCAGTACTGGACATATTGGTTGCTCCGTATACGTTGCAAGTTAGATAGCAGCGAAGCTGTTACTCTTTGTCACTCTCCAATTTGGCATCTGACTATATACTTCTCCTCCACTGATTATTATGATTATTTTACAAGCAGGAGGAGGACTTGATAAGTCACTTCTGCTTCAAATTTTTGCTTTAATACATATTTGCACAAGTACTGTATTCTTGAGACTTTCATTTTCTGCATCCTTTCCCGAGAACAATAATTTACACCAGTAATTTCTTGCATTGTTTTCCCATGTCTAATCACTATGGACAGACAGTGGGGCAGCTCTTCACTTGGTGTCTGTTATCATTGTTCCATTGCCATGGGATCTGCCCGAGTCCGTATGCAATGTGGGTAAATGCTGCATTGCTATGATTGAGGAAAAACTGATATGTTGAAAAGAAAAGTTTGTCATTTTTAGAGGACCAAAGAGTAACACCAACCTAATTAGGTAATTATATTAACTCCAGTTAATGAATAACATTTGAAGTTCATATTAACTTTTAACGTTACATAAAACCAAATGACAAACATTCCTCTGTTAAATCCAGACTTTTTTCTGTATGTCAAAACACGGACACAACGGGCGCTGACAAACCCCTGGGAGAAAAGCTTTCTGTGTGAACATTTCAGAACCTTTTCCTCTTCAATCAAGGACAAAGAAAGGTTCCACTCTAGTTCTCTAGTCCTCCAAGGAAACCTCCAGCAAAAACAGAACAGACAAGATTTGACATTCTAAATATTTATAAGGTAAAACACAAACAGAAAAATCAAAACACATACACAGACCTACCAGGCCTTCTTAGTTCAATGTAAAGAAACAAGAACTCCAAAACACAAGCCCCAATCCTGCAAACACTGATGGATGTGAGTAACTAAAGGGGAACTGCCAGTGAGCTTGCAGGGGCCCTGTTTGTTTTGCCTTTGCAGCTCCCCTTTAGGAATCCACATTTCTGGAGATGTGAACTAATCTTGCAGATCTTTAGAGAATCACCTATTCTATGGCCTGTGTTAAGTGAGAGGTCAGGCCAAATCAGATTGTTCCTTTCTGGCCTTGGAATCTATGAATCATAAAGTATAACAGAAGTGCATATGCTAATAATGTTCTAGAAATGCTGTATAGCTACTGATCCATGTAAAAACAATGAGAAGTACTTGTGGCACCTTAGAGACTAATGGTACGTCCAGACTACCCGCTGGATCGGCGGGTAGTGATTGATCTATCAGGGATCGATATATTGCGTCTCGTCTAGACGCAATATATCGATCCCCAAACACACTCCCATCGACTCCAGAACTCCACCAGGGTGAGCGGCGGTAGCGGAGTCGACGAGGGAGCCGCAGCCATCAATCCCGTGCCGTGAGGACGGGAGGTAAGTCGAAAGAAGATACGTCAACTTCAGCTACGCTATTCCCATAGCTGAAGTTGCGTATCTTACATCGACCCCGCCCACCTAGAATAGAACAGGCCTAAGGTGCCACAAGTACTTCTCATTGTTTTTGCTGATACAGACTAACACGGCTACCATTCTGAAACCTGATCCATGTAAGACTTCCAGTTTGAACTGCTTCCAGGTATAGGTTTAATATTGGAAGTAACATAACTAGAAATGTTTGTGCATGGAAATATTGCATGGTCATGGACCCCCTTGACATGCTATTTTTCAGAAACTTTGTTACCAAGCATGAGCCGTTATAAGTTACAATAATATTTAATTTGGCTTCTCTTCCAAAACTCCTTAATTTGTTAAATATTTGTAAAATGGCAAGACTGAGCTCTACTATCATGTGTAACTGTCAACCCTCTAAAGCAAAAGGAACATAATAAAGTATTGCATGTGCACAATTTTCCCCTTTCCCACTCTAGTGATAGTGGGCTCGATGCTGCAAAATCTACTCAATCTGGCTGACTCCCATGATCTGAAAGTGCAGCCATTGTCAGGAAAGTTATTTTGTAAAAACAGGACCTCCTTACCCATCAGATCAGGTCCCTGTGTGTATTTATTCAGATCAGCTGACTTTAGTGACTACAAGGCAATATCCAAAGCCAATGAAGCCAGTGTGAATCTTTCCTTTGACTTCAATGGTCTTTGGATCAGGCCCTATAATGAGCTTTTACTCATTTTTAGCCAACCCAACGATGGAAGAATGTATTGTACTAGCTTCTGTCTCATACATCATTGACAGAATCATTCGTTAATGTCAAAATGTAGGGCCAAATTCTGCTCTCAGTGAGCCTGTGTGATCTCTTTGAAGATAATGTGATGGCACAGATGTTAATGAGGACAGAATGTAATGCACAAAATTTCTATCACCGGTAACAATGCACTAGCCAGAAAGATTTTATGTCCCAGGTTGATCCAGAAAGGTTGGCAGCAAGAAAAACAAATCTGACTTAATAAAGAGTCTAAAATATATATCAAGGGGTAGCTGTGTTAGTCTGTATCCACAAAAATAACAAGGAGTCCGGTGGCACCTTAAAGACTAGCAGATTTATTTGGGCATAAGCTTTTGTGGGTAAAAAACCTCACTTCTTCAGATGCATGGAGTGAATGTTACAGATGCCGGCATTATATAATGACACATGAAGAGAAGGGATTACCTCACAAGTGGAGAACCAGTGTTGACAGGGCCAATTTGATCAGGGTGGTGTCAATTCCAGGAGAGGCAAAGCTACTCTAGCGACACCATTAGAGGACCCAACCACACAGCTACACCATCAGGGGATCATTCACCTGCACATCTACTAATGTGATATATGCCATCATGTGCCAGCAATGCCCCTCTGCCATGTATATTAGCCAAACCGGACAGTCCCTACGTAAAAGAATAAATGGACACAAATTGGACATCAAGAATGGTGACATACAAAAGCCAGTAGGTGAACACTTCAATCTCCCTGGACATTCTATAACAGATTTAAAGGTAACTATTCTTGAACAAAAAAACTTCAGAAACAGACTTCAAAGAGAAACAGCAGAACTAAAATTCATTTGCAAATTTAACACCATTAATTTGGGCTTGAATAGGGACTGGGAGTGGCTGCCTCATTACAAAAGCAGCTTTGCCTCTCCTGGAATTGACACCTCCTCATCTATTATTGGGAGTGGACTACATCCACCCTGATCGAATTGGCCCTGTCAACACTAGTTCTCCACTTGTGAGGTACTCCCTTCTCTTCATGTGTCATTATATAATGCCGGCATCTGTAACTTTCACTCCATGAATCTGAAGAAGTGAGGTTTTTTACCCACGAAAGCTTATGTCCAAATAAAATATATAGATAGCAATCGAGAAATCATCCTAGAGCCAAGGAACTTTATGGCAAAAATATAAGTATTATTTCTGTACAAAATATTCCTCAGAGGCCAAGGAATTTTCATAATTTTCTTAGCTGCTTGATGCTCATGCAAATACTTCCAGCACTGGCTGGAGTGCCAAGCATAC